TTAATTGATTATTTAATTTTGTTTCAATTCACCTAAATGTTTGATTGGATTCAGGCTACGTGGCCTAACAGTTCAATCATATGGGTGTGCAATGGCGATAACCAAGTTGGCAGCAATATTTTTTGATTATTTATATATTACTTTTCAACATTTATAGAACATGCGAAAAACGGCTGCTGCAATTACAATCTTTGAATGCAAAGTGGATTCAATATATTCTCATCTTATCTAATTTATATGTCCCAAAAATAGCAGAAACTTTTGTGAAATGCAAAAGCAGAAGACACAGAATATGGAAGAAAAAGAAAACGGTACTAAGTTTTAGTGAAACACAGTGTTTTGGTCAAGTAAAATAAAACAAATGATGTGGACAATTGTAAACCCTAGATTAATGTTTGAAAAATCATTAGAGAACTTCACTATTATTTAATAGAGAATATTTCTTATCACGGACTTAATGAGGAGTCTTGAATCTCATATCAAATATAAAAAGAGGGTCACTGAAGTATAAAAAGGTTCACATAATCTCTTCATTGTGAGGTATTTTTTGTAGGATAAAACTGTAAGATCAAGAGAGCCAGAGCGGATAATACCTCATAAAAGTGTGAATCGTGTTATTTATGCTAATCTGAGATGTCGGATGAGTGGATGCCCGGGTTTCGGAGTCACGCGGGTCGAAGCTTAAGTCTCGACCCATGATAAGTGATATCAAAGTCAGCCCTAAATCTTTTGATCCACGTCAAGTTTCTCGAAAGAGGTAGGTAGGGTGACCAACCTTCGTGACGAGGGCATTACGAGGTTGGGTGGGGGAGAATGTCACAAACCTAAGGAAGAGTCTTGAATTTTACATCAATATAAAAGGAAACTGGTATAAAAAGAGTTCACATACAAGGCATCACTGAGATAGGTGGGGAAATGTCACAGCCTAAGGAGGAGTCTATCACGAGGTTAGGTCGGGAGAATGTCACGACTAAAAAGTCTTGAATTTTAATCAAATATAAAGTGGGGGACTAGGTATAAAAGGGTAGGTTGGGTGAGATAGAATGTCACGACTAAGAAGACATGAATCCAATATAAAAAGAAGGTGACTTATACTTCACATACGAGGCGCACAGTATAATATACCTAAGAAGAGTCTTGTTTTACACATATAAGATTGAGGTATGAAGATGAGTATGGAGAGAATGTCAGCTTGTAAAAGCTTGTTCACATCAATTAAATGATGATAGGTATACAAAGTAAGTGACGAGAACGTCACGAGATTGGTGGAAAGAATATCACGGACCTAAGGAGGAGTCTTGAATTCCACATTAAATATAAAAAGAGGGTGACTGAGGTATAAAAAGGTTCACATCATCTCTTTTTTGTAGGCGTATTTTGTAGGACAAAATCGTAAGCCCAGGATGTCAGAGCGGACAATATCTCACAAAAGTATAAACTGTGGTAGAATGACTAATCTAGGACACCGGATGAATATATGTTCGGATCCTGAAACCATGGGAATCAAAACTTAAGTCTTGATCTGTGACACTCCTCTCCTCATGAATTTTAATGATTATTAAATATTTATTCAAGGTCTTTTATTAATTTTGTTGCCCGATGAGAAATATAGTATGAAAATATGAGTTTTGTATAAAAAATATTTAAATTATGATATCCGAAATGTTTTATCAATCAATAAATTATTATTGATTTCAAATTAATCAAAATTTAAAGTGATTATAAAATGTTAAAAGGTTTAAAAAAAATAACCGTACTATCCTAAGTGATTGGTTTCAAAATATAGTTGGATAGGTGTCATGATTTTTTATTTAATTTGGTGATGAGCTCATGTTAACTTTCAGGATGTGATATTTTATTGGAAGTACGAGACTTTCAGACAACAATATAGATTTTTGTTACCCACATGGTATTAAGGTGGATGTTGACTCTAATAATAAGGTGGCATTAACTATGTTAATGAGGCATTTTCATACAGTTGTAAACTTGAAAAATATGGAAACATCGATAAATTAAAATTATAATAAAATATTACAATTATATATAATAAATTATTAAATAATCAAATAAACAAATTAAAATATTACTAAATAAATTTTAATATAAAATTGATTCAAATTTACATACAATAAAATTTGAATCTCATTATATTTGATTGCAACAACTAATAAAATACCGAGAAAGTGTGAGATTGGCATCTAGCAAAGATTTTATAAAGTAGGGAAAGAAAGAAATGGGAGTTTAAGGCTTTAAGCCAGAAAATTGCAATTTATGGTTAAGCCTCCGTGAAAGTAAGCATTTGAATTGCCATTGGTTAATTGTTTGTTATTTTTATTTATTTTTTCTGGTTTCAAAGTGTCCAAGTCTATTTGCTAACTTGTTGGTGTAATCCATTTGTTGTCTCGACTTTGTTTGATAAAAAAAAAAATGAAAATGAATATTGATTAATAAATTAATAAAATTATGTTTAAATTTCATAATCTCTTTTTATTTTATAATTTAATTATTGAATTAGTAATTTTTTTTTCATTCTTATTAATTTCTGTCTTTTTACAGTCAAAGCGACATTAACATTAAAATTTGAAGAGGAGAAATGTTTTTAACAGTTGATTCAATTACAATGATAATTTGGTGCCTACCAAGTCAAGTTTCAATTTTAAAAAACCCTACAAATCAAATCATGAAGATTTCCACTTTCAACTTTGATTCATGCTTGCATTGTCCGTCAAATTAGGATTCACACGTGCTCTCGTGCAGCACGACAGGGCCCAACAAAACAAAATCATACCTCTTCATTTTCTTTCATACATTTTTTAAAGATTTTATTTGAATTTAATTTTTTTTTGAAATTTTTTTTGAATATATTAATATAATTAAAAAAATTATATAAATTAACTTAATTAAATTTTAAAATTTTAAAATTTTTACCATTAATTCTTTTAATATATACTTTAATTAATTATTAAGAGCGAATTTTAATAATATTGGTTGTTGAAAACCTATTAATGGTTCAGTAGATAAAGCCTTTCCTAGATAGAACTCCGTACGTTTTCTCCTTTGCTTAAAAATTCCAACTTGGTGTGTTCATTGTCGTCTTCTAACTAATTTTTATTTCGTTTGTAAATGATTAATTTAATTAATTTTTATTTAAATTCTAGTCCTTTAGGGCTCCACCTTGACTTGAGAATAATCTTTTGATTGGAAAGAAAGTAACTGTGCTCTTACTTTTTGGAAGCTTCCTTAACCTATTGTTATTTATTTATTTATTTTAATGATAGGTCCTTTGTTAGAATTAAACTTACTAATTAACCTGTCTTACAAGTGGGTTTGTTAATGTAATATTATGTAATTTCTGTAATTATATTACATAGATTAATATATTTAATTTTAGTTTTTGAATTCTATAAGAATATGTTTAAAATATTTTGGGATTTAAAATTTTAAGCTTTCAATTGCATTAATAAAAATTATTGAGGTTCGTTTTTAACTTACGAGGAATAATCTATTTTGCTATTGAACTTTATAGGTTTATCTATAAAAAACTTGAGACATATGATTTCATGTCTTTAAATTATAATCTTTCGTAATGAATTGGGGCATTACAAGCTTATTCATTTAATTTAGATTGCACCAATTTTTAGTAACTCCCTGAAGGCCTGACTGAATAAATTAAACTAAACATTTGATTAACGCTAGCCCCTCCCCTATTGTAGACAATACTGTGGCATTTTTCACACGTTGAACAAAGACTTTTGTTTCTGTTGTAGAAGATACATGCAATGTACAACAAGAAAAGCAATGGAGACAGTTGACTATATTAGTCTGTAACCATTCACTTGCCACACAATATTTCTTAAACATTTCTTATTTCTTTAATCAGAATCTCATTAACTTCTTTTTTTCGGTCTTCGTTTTTTTCAATAGAAATTTCAACTTACCAAATGTAGGAATAATAAATCAAAATCTCATAATATATTTATTTGAGATTAATAAGATATTATTTAATGAATAAAAAATTTTTTTAAAAAAATTTTTGATAGGTAAATTTATTTACTTATAAATATGTAAAGTTTTTACAAAATTAGATATAAAAAAAGATGTAAAAAATTAAAGAGTTTTATGGGATTGACACCTTATAAAATTATTAAAGATTTACATCTTATGGTTTTATATGTTTAAATATTTATGAGTGATTAGAGGAGATTCAGAAGGTTCACGTAAATATGTGCATGAGTACACATGAGTATGTGTGTATATTTGTAATTTTTTATAATTAGTGAATATTTTTTTTTATCCGTAGACGCAGGTCGGTTGGGCTTAATTACGTTCAATTGTTATCTCTTGTGTGATTGATTATTTGATTTTACTTTTGTTGGTTTGACTGATTGGAAGCTTTTTACTTAACAAGTGATATCAGAGTTAAAAGTTTAAAACGTAAGAAGAGACAAGCTTAGAAAAACTCGATTTAAAGAAAAAGTTCAAATTTGTATTTTGAAAATTGATTGACAAAAAAGTTGAAGACACACAAGAGAAGATGATTGTGAAACTTTCATTGCAGGTGTAGTCAAATATATTTAGTATGAAAATTGATAATTTGATAGAATTTGAGTCAATGTGAAGATTGTTGAGAATAATGACTCAAATCTCATAACAGATTAGCTTGAGATTGATAAGATATTATTTAATGGATAAAAAAACTAGCAAAAGAAGAATTTTAAGAGGGAAGAGATTCTTGATAGGTAAGTTTATACGTTTATAGATAGATGAAGCTTCTACAGAGTTAGATATAAGAAAAATATGTAAGAGAGTTATAAAATTTTATGAGATAAGCACCCATAAGACTACTAAAGATTTACGTTTTATGGGTTTATATGTTTGAATGTTTGTGAGTGGATTAGAGAAAATTGAGAGGATCCATATAGATATAGTACATTATACATAAATATATGTGTATATTTGAAATTCTTTATAATTAATAGATATTTTTTATCATCTGTAGACGTAAATCGTTGGATCAAATCATATTAAATTATTATCACTTACATGATTAATTAATCATTTAATTTTATTTTTGCTAACTTCATTGGACCATAGCTTTTTAGTCTAACCCCAAACCCTTGTCATGAAATAAAAAAAACTCATTAAGGATCCATCTTTTTTTTCCAAGAATACTCGGTGTTGACCTTAATGTCATTCAAAAACAGAGCCAAAATCTAAAAAGGAGCATACTAATTTAATTATATTTTTGCTTCTTAGACAAGTTGTTTAATTTGATGCTGTCTAGAAATTCTGAAACATTTACGATATAAATAGAATCGAGAGACTCGAAGTTCGATGTTATAGAGTCGTCTCGAGATGGTGAGGCAACAAATATCCTGGAATAAAACATTTCTAAAAAAAGGAATATGGAGCCCTGACGAAGATCAGAAGCTGATTGCTTATATAAAGAGATATGGCATTTGGAATTGGAATGAAATGCCCAAATATGCTGGTATGAGACATCCCTAATTATGCTAAACTTTAATCGTGTACAAGAACAAGCTATCGATTTAGATTTTGTGATTAGAGCATTTTCATGCACTTCATTTTGGTTTGTAGGTTTGTCCAGATCAGGGAAGAGTTGCAGGCTTCGTTGGATGAATTACTTGAGGCCTAATCTAAAGCGTGGAAACTTCACCAGGGAGGAAGAAGAAACTATAGTCCAACTGCAAAAGAAGCTAGGAAATCGGTTAGTAACAGCACAGCCACCTTACTATTTTGAACTCTGAACTAAGTTTAATTGGTTTATGCAGTTATTTTTTGTGACATCTAGGGATTCAAATTCTAACATCTGCAACTCTTTTCTCCTATTTTCAGATTACTATCTTGATAAAAAAAAAATTACTATTTTCAAACATAAGATTATAGATAGGACGACACGATTCCATTTTCACAAATTTCGATTAATTTTCAGATGGTCGGCAATTGCTGCAAGGCTGCCGCAAAGAACTGACAACGATATAAAAAACTACTGGAACACTCGCTTGAAGAAAACAGTAGAGAAGAACAATATTTCAGCATCAGGAAACACATCACCTACAGAAATCAATTCAGGTATCGAAGCCAAGCAGGAGAATTCGTCTCACGCTGAATTCTCAATGTTCCTCAAGACTTTGCCGGACTCACCAATTCCTACATTGGATGACTTCCCCGAACCTGCAGCCACTGATAGTTATACCATGGACGACAATTTTGTTTCATCTGATTTTCTGGAGCAGCAACTGATGACAGTAGTAACTCTGGACAACCAGGACTGCCAAGCTATGTCACCAAATCCTCAGCTATGGCTACATGAACCCATATTTGAATGCGATTCCTACTATGATCCTCTGGATGACTTCTGGCTCAATCCATTTATTTAGTGCATAAAGAGTGAGAGCTGATCCCTTTGCCCTGCTTCTAAATTCGATTTCAATAAGTATTACTATTATAATATGGATGCTTAAAGTGATATTTGTCCTATTAATTTCAACATACTAAGGCTGGTATCGTGTAATTATGAAAACATAGAGATTGTCAGAATGTTTGAATTAGTAGAAACCAAAAACATATATTTTACGAATCTGTCATATCGACACAAATTCTTGGTGTTTTTATGTGCTTAAAAGTAGTAAGTTATGTTCGGTTTTAAGGGAAAACATTCAGGTAACACTTCTTCCTTGAAAGAGAAAAAGACAAAGAAGAAGATCAGCTAGAGCTTCTGGTTGTTTTCTAGAACTTTTGTATGGGTTATAGCGGTCTACATTATTCTTGAGCTTACAAGTCCAAAACGTATGTGGTGGCTAGTAAAGTAGTCTTGAAAAGCTTAAGGCTAAAATTGCTGAACTTCAGGGTGTGTAGTGATTGATAGATATGATAATTTTAAATACAAAACGTAACATGATAAAAAGAATAATATGAAAAGAAATATAAAATGATATAATTTAAAATTTTAGTAAAAATTATATAAGAACCAAAACTATATTTTGTGTATGGTTGTTTGGAATATCAACAAAAATTGTAAATACAATAATTTTTTTGTTTTAAACATTTTTGACATGAAATAAATAGATACAAATACATGAATTGTAAGATTTAGTTGTATATATAAGAATTTTAATTAGCAAGAAAATGAAAAGCTATACGAAGGAAACAGATAAATGGGCATTGGTTTTTCAATCAGAAAATTGATTAATGTTAACAACAAACTCAGCTGTTCACCAAATAGGTTGGAAAAGTAAAAGAAAGATCAGCTGGAATTTGTGTAGTGAGTATATTTGCCACCCAATGCAATGCCGATGGCTGGTCAAAAATGGAATATAGACGACAGTATATCACGTGCTCAGTCGCATTCTATAACCTTCTATGTTCTTTCTAAGTAACTTTTTCTTTTGACAATCAGGTCTTAATAATTTGTCCTGTTTTCCCTTTTTCTCTTGGTCAGTTGATTGCACTTCCAAAGTCTCCTCAAGCAAACAACTTAATTGTCACTTTAATTATTATTTTTTATCAGATTCACATATATCACTTTAATTATTTATTTTTAATCTTCAATTATTATCAATTAATCATTAATAATTTTATTTCGTGTATTAGACTTACATTGAAACACATCAATTCAAATAGTAATTTTCATCTTAATCTGCGTCCGACTTTCAACATTATAAACCTGAAGACCACGTCACGTTTTTTAATTTGTATAAATTGTCAAAAATTTTTCAATGTGAAACTCATTACTTGATTACACCGGTCATGTCTGAAATTTTCAATTATTAAGTAATCAAGCTTCAAGTCAGGTTACTTGCTTCTTCTATGTACCTGCAATCTTTTCCAAGGTGACTTTTGACGAAGCGACAGTCAGTATGCGAGCTATAGGCATTACTCCAGCTTGGCAGCTATATAGCAATGGCCATTATTCTACTACAACGGTCCTAGACGTTAACAAGAAGTAGGAGAGTGCCCATGTTCAAACTTTAAGCTACAAGCGTTACTTTGCTTACACGCATCCTCAAGCGTAAAAATCAAGTAACTTTCGCATCTACATTGATTTACACTACTATGCTTAGGGGATAGCTCATGCGTTAAATGAGAGCGAACTCTAAGGAAAGCGCCAACATGTTAATTAAATGTAATCAGTCGATCGATATTAGAAAATTTAAATTAAGTTCGATTCATAATTTATAGATACTTATTAAATGATGAAATTTTATTTTTTAAGTTCGATTCTTATTGATTGAAATTCACTCTTCGATTAAGTTCGATTAATTGTAAATAAACTCAACTTCGTATACTCAAGCAAAATTCCGATTATTCATGTTCGGAACTCAACCAAACCGAATATCGAAATTTTTATTAATTAAAATAATAAAATATATTTAAATATAAAATTCGATTAAGCTTACGAGCTATTCGAACCGAATATAAAAATACTCAAATTCGACTTGATCGATAAATCAAGTTATTCGAGCTTAACTTGATAATAATCGAATTGAATTCGAATTTTTTTTTGAATCGAATCTAAGTAACTTACGAATATTAATGTATCATTTATACTCCTAATACTAACACTACTCATCTAAGCGAGTAAGAGACCACAGGCACTAAAACCACTAAACCCCATTTGGATCGGCTTATAACTCTAATACGGCATGAATATACTTCTTTTTGCCCCATTTCCTACTGTAGAAGTCGTTTGGATAACCAAAAGTCAATACAGTTGTTGCCACTGAACTCAGAATTTCAATCAGAGGGGGAAGGCTTCAGTGGAGATTCCCCTTTTCCCACCACTGTTCTCTTTTTGTTATTTACTCTACATTTTTTTTCTTCTTTACCCATAAGATTATTGTGTATGGACAAAAATATCTCTTGTACCAAACTTTTGTCTTTTATTTGATATTTTATTTAATAAATTTCAAATTATTTTATTAATTTAAAATAATAAAAAAATTTTAGAATTATATAATAAACTAATTAATAAATAAATAACTAAAAATTAAACCAATACATAGATAACTAATGAATTCTTTAATTAAATAAATTATAAATAAATGAAAAAAATAAATATAATTTTGACAACAAATTTATCATATAAATAAATGCAATAATAAATAATTGATTATTATTTTGTTAAATTTCAATTTGTGTAAATATATTATTACAATTTTTTAAAAAATATTACTTGACATATTATTACGATTTTATTAATTTTTAATTAATTATTTGATATATTATTAATTAACAAATGATATAAATTTTTTATTTTTTTATAAATTTTAATATAATATTTTTAATAATAATTATTTTTTTACTATATTTCACATCATCATCACCTCAGTTTTACATCTAAATATATATTATATCATTAATTTTAATTTTATTATTCTAATAATTAATTTTATCTTTATTATTATTTTTAATTTTATCATCCGTACAAATGAACTTTAATAATAGTCTCTCACAAATGTTTCCGCACGTAGCAGGCAAACGAGAACTTCATTCCAAAGAGTTGAAGCACAGTACCCCTTCCTAGGTCACTGTTCACTCTACAAAGCTTCACAAATTTATTAGCTCGCTCTATGACGATCACTTTATGACAATTTACAAAGCTCCTAACCTTTGTGCAAATCCGTAGGTAACCTAACCAAGCCTATAAGGCTCACAAAAGGGGAGTGATCCAAATAAGTATTGCTCACCGTCAGTCAGTCATCAACCAAGAGTAAAGCAGCATGTGTCACACTAGGCGCTTTTAAGAGGTCGATAGGATACATTAATTTCGAATCGAAAAAAAAATTATTGGACGGACAAGTGTTAGTCTTGTATATTTCAATAAGTCAATTTTATGAGAGAAATGTAATGATATGTAATAAATAATATCAGATTAATTAATTTTTATTTATCCAATTCTATGCTAAATATTTTATTTTGAGTAAGCAAAGTGAACTAGTTTCACTATTTAATAAGGTGTCTAGATAGGCACAATGACAGAGTTTAATACGTTAAAATGCTTCAAAAGAGAGTAAGTAAGATGGCAATCTTGACGAAAATATCATAAGACTAAATAAGAAAAAATATCACGTTAAGCGTCTTTGAAAACAAACAGAATGCATTAATATCACGTTGAATAGAAAAAAAAAAGATCGTTAAATGTATAAAGGTTAAAACTGTACATTCCAATAAACCCATTTTACAGGAAGAAGGTAATAATCACATGCACTACACACGGCTTGAGCCATGCAAAGCATGAAAAGCGAAGGTAAAAGGATAGAAGACTAACACACTCTCACGCGTTAAGGGCAGTTAGGTGACAACTGTCCAGCCCCACAAGGATCACGCAATTTAATCGCCCAAGACAATCACTTCCCAGCTCGTAGATACTCGCCGCGCACAATGCTTAGCCAACCTTAAATATGCTTAAGGATGGTCATTTTATAATCACCATCACACTTGAAGGATAATTGTTATACCAGATCCAACCTACGAGGCCCACAAGAGAAAAATACCTCAAGGAATGCTACGTGTCTATCACATGTCTTATGTCAAACCTTACTTATGAGACGGATGACATATATCACACACTTGGATCACATCGAGAGATTCACTACCTTTCTTCTGATGCATATGAGTGTCAAAACAAGTTTCAAAATCTTAATTTCGATGCTCTTTGATCTTCTTTTTCTCTTGATGAGTTTTACAAGCTTACCAACTTAACCTCCAATGTTTTTTGCTCCCATCGAATCCATAATTACAGCAACAACTACCTAATACTAGAAAAAAAGAAAAAGAATATTCAAAGATTAGCTAGGGTGTCAAAATAAGTCTCGGAACTTGGCCGAAAGGGCTGACCTCTCGTATATAAAAGATTGACATGCTTGAAAATTGTACGTCACTAAAACTAATTTGATAGATTCTTCGAATCCATGATGACTTTAATTTGATGCCCCATTTGAAAATCGTAAGGGGCAAGGAGACAAAAAAAAAAAAAACCATAAAATGAACGTGGTCGTCAAAAAGAAGATTTGGAAAGTGCATTGTAAGAGTGTGACACCTACCACACGGAATTTTTACTTTATAAAAATTAATTATGTGCAAACTCATGGGTGAAAAAATAAAAAAATTATAATCGATTCAGGGTTTTATATGCATTGTTTAAGATTAGTTTAAATATTATTTTAATAAAAATTTTTACATTTAATACATTATTTTTAACAAATTAAGAAAAATTAATGCATTAATTATAAATTTATTAATTAAAATATCACCTTAAGATATTGATTAACATTTTTTATAATTATTTAAACATAAGAAATTAGATAAGTTAACACAGTTATTTTAAAGTGAGAGAAAAAAAAAAACACTTACAAACAATAAGATCATCCGAAAATGATTGCATATTCGGAATCAAAATTTTGGTCCATGCAAATTTTTGCGGATGCATGGATATACAAAATATTCACTT